AAGGGCACGTGTGGGGGGATGGAGATGAGGTGGGGGGGTTTCGGGGAAGGTGCGGGCGGGTGGCAGTGGCAGTGGCAGTGGCAGGCGTATCCGGGCGGCGGGATTGGTTGGCCACGGGGGTCGCGGGGTTGCGTCATGGCCGACTTCAGCTGGAGCTCGGTTGTGCGGTGCGGCGTGGACCTGGTCGGCACGCGCGTGTGTGGCTGTGCCCGCCGCGGATCGTGGCGAGAGGTCGGGAGGACCGTGGGTGCGTGGCTGCTGCTCGGGGCTACACCTGTCCTTTTTTTTACTTTCTTTTTTCGGAAGCGGACGCATATCGTGGCAGAAGCTGTTTTATGGGATCTCCTACGAAACCAAAATTGGGAGAAAATAAATATGGTCATTTACCGCGTATCTACCGCGTAAGATTTTCTGCTCTTTTAGGAAAGAAGACAGCTCATATCTACTCCCTCCGTTCCTATTACACCTTTTACTGATTCCACTCTGCAGTACACACGGATGTACATATACATACTTCCTCCGTCCCGAAATACTGAAATACTTATCAAAGAGATGGATAAAATTTAATGTATCTACTACTAAAATACGTCTAGATACATTCATTTCTCCAACAAGTATTTCCGAACGGAGAGATTACTTGAGAGTGTAGATTCATTCATTTTGCTTCATACGTAGTTTATAATGAAATCTCTAACAGGTTTAATATTTAGAAACAAAGGAAGTAATATTATTTGCAATAAACCTAGGGCATCTCTTACACGGATCGTCACACCGTTCGCAACCATCCGTACCGCACAATACCGGTGCATTATGCCATCGAAAGTAGTCTTGTATTGGTTCCTTCGGCGGTTCGGGCGTTATTTTTGCCGTAAATCAAAAGCAAACAGCGGGAAGGTGGCTTTGCGGGCGACCGGACCGCTATCACGCAAGCATCCAACAACCTTGGCCAACCCAAGCCCTTTTCTCACTCGCGCCATCCCCCCCCCCCTCCCTCCCCCGCGCGGAAGTGGTTAGCGCCACTCCAGAGCGTTCAGTGCCGCATCCATGCCGACCTAGAGCGGACACGGCCTCTCACAT